GGAGGGGAGGGGGGGGGGGGAAAGGGGGGGGGGGGGGGGGGGAAAAAAAAAGGGGGGGGGGCAGAAAGGAGGAGGGGGGGGGGGGGGGGAGAAGGAAGAAAAAAGGGGGGGGGGGAGGGGGGGGGTAAAAGGGGGGGGGAAAAGGGGGGGGAGGGGGGGGGGTGGGGGGGGGGAGGAAGGGGAGGGGGGGGGGAAAAGGGGGGGGAAGGAGGGGGGGGGGAAGGGGAGGGGGGGGGGGGGGGGAAAAGGGAGGGGGGGGAAAAAGGAGGAGAAGGAAGGGGGGGGGGGGGAAAAGGGAAGGGGGGAAAAGGGGGGGGGAGGGAGGAGGGGGGGAAAAAAGGGAGGAGGGGGGAGAAAAGGAAGGAGGAGGGGGGAGGGGGGAATAAGGAGTGGGAGAGAAAAAGGGAAAGGGGGGAAAGGGGAGGGGGGGAGAAAAGGGGGGAGGGGGGGGAAAAAGGGGGAGGGGAGGAATAGGGAGGAGGGGGAAAGGAAAAGGGGAGGGGGAGGAAAAAAAAGGGAGGGGGGGGAGAAGGAGAGGCGGGGGAAAAGGGGAGGAGGGGGGGGGAGAAAGGAGGGGAGGGGGGGAAAGGAAAAGGAGGAGGGGGAGAGAAGGAGAAAAGGGAAAGAGGTGGGAGAAGGGTTTGAGGGGGAGGAAAAGGGGGAAAAGGGGGGGGAGAGAAGGAAAAGGAGGAGGGGGAGAAGGAAGGGGGGAGAGAAGGGGGAGGGGGAGAGAAGAAAGGAAGGGGGAGAAAAGGAGGAGGGGGGGAAAAAGGGGGGGGAGGAAAAGGGAGGGGGGGGGAGAGAAGGGGAGGGGGGGGGGGGAGGAGGGGGGGGGATAGGGAGGAGGGGAGAGAAGGAGGGGGGGGGGAAATGGGGGGAGGAGGGGGAGAGAAGGAGGGGGGGGGAGGAAAAGGGGGGAGGAAAAGGGAGGAGCATGCTTCCCCCCAGGGTTCCCTTTGGGTGATGGCCCTTTTCTTGTAACACGGGAAATGTTGAGCGTGAAAAAACCCAGGCGTTTCATTTCTTGGAAAACCGCTGGCCTGGCCCTACTACCATCCCCCGTTCAAGGCTTCAATATTTTGTCTTGCCATTACCCTCTGAAGGGCAAATAAAAAAAACCATGTCTCAATTTTTCCCAAGGTTTAAAAAAACTTTTTTAAATGTTCCCCCCTTTTCATTTACACTGATTGAAGTGGTTTTAAAAGGTACATCAAAAGGACATTCTTTCACCGGATCCTGGTAGTTGTCATGGAAAAAAACAGGTGTTTAAATGTTTTGTACACTCTGGAGGGTTTTATAACAAAGTAAGCAAGGGTTGAAATGATCATGTTTTTGTCAAAATTATATCTTTTGGGCATCTTTCGGTCAATTTTTCCGTTACAAATGATTTTTAATTTTGTTCCCGGGCCCCCGACATCCCCTCAAGAAAACAAAACATGGCACCCCTTCTGCCCTTTGCAAAACATTCCCCGGGGTTTTAACAAATCCCCTAGCCACCATCATAGCCAGCCAGGGTTTGAAATATGTTTTCCCTCAAAATGACACCCTCAAGCCAGCCAGGGTTATGAATTGTTCCTCCCTATGAACATCATAGCCCGCCAGGGTTAGATAATCAGTTCCACCCTAGAACATCATAGCCAGCCGGGTTTGTAATCATGTTCATCCATAAGCACACCATCATGCCAGCCCCGGGTTAGAAATATGTTCCTCCAATACCCCATATAGCCAGCCGGGGTTTTTGATACAGTTCCATCCATACGCAAAAATTTATAGCCAGCCCGGGGTTTTGATAAAAAGTTCCCCTAGCACACCATATAGCCAGGCCGGGTTATGATAATAGCCTCCTACTCAACCCCATAGCCCGCCCGGGTTAGAAATATGTTCCCTCCCCTATGCACACCATATAGCCAGCAGGGGTTTTGATTAATCATGTTCCTCCCTACTGCACACCCTCATAGCCCGCCGGGGGGGTTTTGATAATCATGTTCCACCTATGCACACCATCTAGCCCGCCAGGGTTATGATAATATGTTATCCACTGCCAAATCATAGCCCGAAAGGGGTTTTTGTGATAATAATTCTGTCCATCCATACTGCACACCATCATAGCCAGCCAGGGTTATGATAATCATGTTCCATCCATACTGCACACCATCATAGCCAGCCAGGGTTATGATAATCATGTTCCATCCATACTGCACACCATCATAGCCAGCCAGGGTTATGATAATCATGTTCCATCCATACTGCACACCATCATAGCCAGCCAGGGTTATGATAATCATGTTCCATCCATACGCACACCATATAGCCAGCCAGGGTTATGTAATCATGTTCCATCCATTACTGCACACCATCATAGCCAGCCAGGGTTATTGATAATCATGTTTTCCATCCATACTGCACACCATATAGCCAGCCAGGGTATGATAATCATGTTCCATCCATACGCACACCATCATAGCCAGCCAGGGTTATGATAAGTCATGTTCCATCCATACTGCACACCATCATAGCCAGCCAGGGTTATGATGATCATGTTCCATCCATACTGCACACCATCATAGCCAGCCAGGGTTATGATATTTTTTTTATTTCACCTTTATTTAACCAGGTAAGCCAGTTGAGAACAAGTTCTCATTTACAACTGCGACCTGGCCAAGATAAAGCAAAGTAGTGCAATAAAAACAACAGAGTTACATATGGGGTAAAAAAAACATAAGTCAGAAAATACAACAGAAAAATATATATACAGTGTGTGCAAATGTAGCAAAGTTATGGAGGGTAAGGCAATAAATAGGCTATAGTGCAGAATAATTACAATAGTATTAACACTGGAATGCTAGATGTGCAAGAGATTATGTGCAAATAGAGATACTGGGTGTGCAAAAGAGCAAAATTAAATAACAATATAGGGATGAGGTAGTTGGGTGGGCTAATTTCGGATGGGCTGTGTACAGGTGCAGTGATCGGTAAGGTGCTCTGACAACTGATGCTTAAAGTTATTAAGGGAGATAAGAGTCTCCAGCTTCAGAGATTTTTTGCAATTCGTTCCAGTCATTGGCAGCAGAGAACTGGAAGGAATGGCGGCCCAAAGGAGGTGTTGGCTTTGGGAATGACCAGTGAGATATACCTGCTGGAGCGTAGACTACGGGTGGGTGCTGCTATGGTGACCAATGAGCTAAGATAAGGCGGGGGATTTGCCTAGCAGTGATTTATAGATGGCCTGGAGCCAGTGGGTTTGACGACGAACATGTAGTGAGGACCAGCCAACAAGAGCGTACAGGTCACAGTGGTGGGTAGTGTATGGGGCTTTGGAGACAAAACGGATGGCACTGTGATAGACTACATCCAATTTGCTGAGTAGAGTGTTGGAGGCTATTTTGTAAATTACATCGCCGAAGTCAAGGATCGGTAGGATAGTCAGTTTTACGAGGGCATGTTTGGCAGCATGAGTGAAGGAGGCTTTATTGCGAAATAGGAAGCCGATTCTAGATTTAACTTTGGATTGGAGATTCTTTATGTGAGTCTGGAAGTTGAGTTTACAGTCTAACCAGACACCTAGGTATTTGTAGTTGTCCACATACTCTAGGTCAGACCCGTCGAGAGTGGTGATTCTAGTCGGGTGGGCGGGTGCC